GACCAAATCAATCTCGGCCACCCTTATTTCCTTTTTCCTTAGGTCATTAAGCCTTGATGTTCCAGGGGTTACCTAAAGCTTTCTTCTAATTACTCTTAATTATGACTAATTTTGCGTACAGGCTTTAATACTCAGGCACACAGAGACGAATTCGAGTATAAGTGAGTTAATCAAACCCTTATATATTCAAGTAAATCTTAAATTTTGTTCGCAATAAGCATATATATATATGTACATCATATGGCTAAAAACCGGTTGGTCTTCTTTACTTAGTATTAACTTAAAGCTTTTGCACTAATGAATTTCAGCTCGGACAATTTTCTTGGGGAGACTTTCATTTCGTATGAAAGTGCATTGAGATTAGATTCGTAGATTGATCTCACCAGAATCGGACGGATGAATCCCGTTATACTGCCACTGTTTGGCTTTTATACGACGTTCAGGTTGACTCAGACCACTACACCTCCTCCCTCGTTTGGGTGAAAACGGGCTGAGCCTTCGTCCATCACATGATGGACATCATCTGAGTCCGAAATCATTTTGGTAAAAGTCTCAAGTTAACACTATGGCAACAAGACCATCCGGCTCGATCTTACCTCTTATATAGGCTCAATTAACCAAAATAAAATAAAAAACCTAGATAGATATAAGGTGGATTGGCTAATTATCTTTCATACTGGTCCTGCTAATTTTGCTCGAGTTTTTGCGTGTGTGTACTTGTATGTGTCAACGTCTATACACAATACTGATCCTAAATCTGAGTGATCAAAAAGCATATGTCGGGCTCTGTGAGCCCAGGCTACTTATATTCGATATGAGTAGATTTCGAGGGTAGCAGTAATGCCTAAATACGAACTTAGTCAGCTTAGGTTGATTAAGGTATTTAAAAGAAGAATAGTTGAGTTTCTCCCAAAGTTATATGAGTTCAGGCAACCTGCAGGAGGACGCTGGTTGGCTGACTGACTTGCGACTCCACTTCATGACCAGCCAATGTCCAGTCTAATACTTATTTCGGCACAATCGAGCGAGCATTTATTGATCTGGACAGACTGCAAAAGGGCCGAAATAGAAGTTACAGTTTGTGCGGTCGCAATTCTGGCGAATTCCCCTTCCAATAGGGCTTCTAACAAGTCAGAAGATCCAGAAAACTCCCCTTTACCCTCGACTTTCCTCCTATCCTCTTGGACACCGCAACCAACACGTGGCCAGCATGCAGCAGATTGAGTGAGCCCAACTAAACCAAGGGGCTCCAGCGGCATTTGGCTCTGAGGATTTTTCCTCCTGTTAGAGGCTCGTCAGTGTGTTGAGGGCAGAAGAGACAACAATATGGACACGAACTCCCTCATGACCGTTCCTGAGGGAGGCCAGGCGTACGCAGAATCCTTCAAGTCCGGCCGTCTGTACGCCTCCACCCAACCTGACGAGGATTGTAACTCTGCTGGGGGCCCCGGCAGAGCACGCCTGGAGGGATACACATCGCCAGAAACTGGCACACCTTTTTCGTCTGGCGACAAACGTTTCCACATGGAATGGTGTGAAATTTATACGGACAGTCACGCCTCTGCTCTGGTCGTTGGTCAGGTGCGATCAGAACAGATCAATGTACCAAAAACCTTCATACCTTTAGTCATGCGTTCATACAGTTCAACCGCCAACCTTTGCCCCTCCAACATCACCGACTTGGAAATGTCCACTGCTCCCCGAGACAGCTCCATCATGGCCTCCATCACGCCCGTGCCTGTAGGGCAATCGGCAACAGACACGTTCTACTCGTTGGATTCGACCGACTGCCTCAAGATGGCCGCCACGCCGATGTGGCATGAGTCTATGTTCAGGCTGGCGGAGAGGTGTGTCCTACTTTAGAGACGGCGTCTTTCGTCCTTCTCAGGAATGCGATTGTCTCTGGGGCATAAGCGGGCTTGGACCAAGTTGATTGGCCATTGCTGCCA